CGAGTTGCCATACCTCATATCACTACATCAAGTAAAAAGGTAGTCAGGTGAAGGATGAAGATAAGTGAATGCAGTCAAAAGAAATATAAAGTACGAGAAGAAAGAAAGGAAGAATGACCAAGTGTTGAGATTCGGTATAGCGTCGTTAAGATGATGATAATGTGTGTATACATCTGCGCCACTCACATCAGTTCTCAGCCATATCACCTAGAGTCTCCAACAACTGGTTCCTCTCGTCCCGCGGACCCGAACCACCTAGTCTGCATCATCCCACATGACTTAAACCAACACTCAGAGACTTCGTGCATCGGTGTCATGTTGTAGTTTGGTCGCCTCCAGCCTGAACCTACTTCAGCCAACATTATGTGGCGAGGCGATCGGCGACTAGGCATACATAAAACATGTGTGAGTCAGTTATCTCAGTCGATGAAGGTCCATGACCTCGTCAACTGACTTACCTCTTCTCCCTAAAACTCTACACCTGATTTCTGCATTACTCACGTAGTGACACCACGGAATATGATCTATACTATGTAGAGTGCGTGAGAAAGCTTCGCGTATTCGATCAGCACTACCTCCGTTGCATAGGTCGTGGTATCACCACGTCAGTAATGCAGGAGTCAGGTATATCTTCACCATTATTATTAGAACACAAATGTGCCAAGAAATACGTCACACAAAGTAACATTACGAAGACATAAAGAGAAAGGAAGTGGATAAGTTATAAAGAGAAACTGAATAAGAATAGGATGATTAGAAGGTCATTCCATTAAGATACATTCAAAACAAAACATTCATTACTTTTTAGCAGCAGAAGATAGGAGGAAGCTACAGCATGACCAACACTAGTTTCCATTCTCGGCTGTATCTGATAACTTCTCAAGCTACCGAGTTGCGTGATCTCTCCGACCCCACCCAGAGGTTCGTGATGCACCAACAGATGATGACCCGGCACAACTATCCTTCATCATACGGCGCCACGTCATACGCTGACCAGCCCTCTGCCAGTTCCATCCAGTCCCAGTGTTAGCAAACAATGAGCGACGTGGAAGCTGTTGGGATGACTTGCGTAATTCATGTCCAAGCCACCGAAGACGGTATTTGCAGAAGACTTCACTGATAGAATGAAGATCTCTATCATCCCCAAATACACATTATCGTACCTCAGAATTACTTACATGCTGTTGCCACTGAATACGAGCAATCCTATGGAGACAATGATGATGGGACACACAGAGTCGTCGCATATGCTCAGCTCGAAGAAGCCAGGTTTCACAGGCGTAGAGGAGAACTGTTCACATCAAAGCGTTGTAAACCCGACCTGATCGTAAATCAGACTGATGACGCTAAAGTTGGTCCAGATTGATATATACTGCTTTGGCTTTCGGTATGCGATTGGAAATTTCATCACTGACACCACCACCAGCAGTCACACAACTGCCCAGATACACAAACGTTTCGACTACTTCCAATAGGCAACCACCAAGAGCGAGCGCAGATATAGGTGTAGACTTTTATGGAAGAGAGGAAAGTCAGTTGATGAGGTCATGGATTTTTATCAGTTGACATGGCTGAGATACATGTGTGACGTATGTCTAGTTACCGTCTGCCTCATCTTACAATGTTGTCTGAAGTAGACTAAGGCTGGAGGGAGGTTAGACGTGATCGGACTAAAATATAGCACCAGTGCATGAAGTTCATGGTATATACCCCTAATTTTGCATAACTTTTACCTGATGTTACTTATAACCTTAAAATAGCTCATCATTGTTGTTTCTAGACTGTTGCTAGCTTTTGTTTTTCCGCTGTTTTGAAGACTCTACTTTCATTGGTTTTTTCAACTCTTTTAACCTAAACGTGGATTTAGTGTTATCAAAGTCATTTGGAAATGTATATATTCAACATCATTGTCAATTGTTTTGACTAATGTTGAGACAGAGTGAAAAAGCTGTCTGTTAACGGTCCGTTTTCTCTCCTTATCTTTGCGTGTCGGTGTTGTTGTTGTTTTGATGGTAGTTGACGTTCTAATTAGCATTTAGAGTTGATTCGTTTTACGCGCTAGGTTCGTATCGCTTGTAAACTGTTAAGTTTCACTACCGGTTATATGAGTCAATAAAATGTTGGTTTAATCCAGGTTCCACGTTGATATTGACTAACTGTCCAGCTGTTGAAAATTAATTTTTAACCATTAGTTCATGGTAATGAATTTCTCATCTATCTATTGACGTTTACATAATCAGATAGTGAGAATCATTAGTGTTATCATACAATGAGTTAAACTGATAGTTTATTACATGGATATGAGTCAGAGATTACAATAGACAACTTCCAATGGAAACTGCATTAATATCGTATCTAGACAGCTGGGTAAAATGTCCTTCTTATTCAAATGTGAGAAATGTCAATGTGAAGCCTACAATTATCAAATAATTTCCAAGTATACTAGTCGACTGAAGTCAGCTAACCAGTTTCATTCCGTCTGGACAATTCACTTCTATGTCATCAATTTGTTTAGATTCACCAGTGATGAACTCTGTCACCCGCTCTTTGGATTACTGTCGTATGCCTAGTAAGAGCTAAAAAATTGCATGTGTAGCTTTTAACTACTCATGGTTCTAAGTAGTATATGTTTCCTATCAGTGATAAATATCATAACAAATGGTTTTCGTACAGAAATGTCAGTAGAAACCATTTAGTTAATAAGAAGTTTTATAGCCAACTTTAGTCAAGTTGTACAAAGTTCTATAAAATTTTAATTGGTTGCTTGAGGATAGGGAATAGTGTTAAAGTGGTATTATTCACAGATTAACATTTTCGATGCACTAGAGACCTTTCTCGTCCCAATTTCGTACTGCTGTTCAAGCTATATCGATGACCTTGTGGGGAGTCGAGCTCAGAGCTGTTACATGTCAAGGCGAATGCGTTACCACGCAATCATATATATATATATATATATATATATATATATATATATATATATATATATATATATATATATATATCCAGCAGCCACAGAACCATTAGTTAACACAATCCCTCTAACAAAAGACGAAGTCCTGAATGCCATAAAGTTGCTGAAAGTCGTGAAAGCGGCAGGGCCAGATGGAATTCCTCCAGAAGCACTAAAAACAGATGCAGAGACTACAGCGAACATGTTCACACCATTATTGCACAAGGTCTGCAAGCAAGGAAGGAAGGAAAGGTACATGCCAACTGATTGCAAGAACGACTACTTTGTCAAACTCTCAAACAAGGGTGGGCGAACTAAGTGTTTACAAGAACTAGCACGGAATCATCCTCCTGTCCACCCAAAGCAAGCAAAATATTAAGCCACATCATCCTACAGAGACTAAAATATACTCTGCATTCAAAATTACCACCGGAACAGGCTGGCTAGTTGGCTTCAGGAAGAACAAATCATGTGAGGATCAAATTGCAACACGACACTACGCTACACATCATCATAGAACAGAGGGTAGAATGACAGTCAACTGGATCTTTACCTCAACTTCATCAACTTTGAAGAGGCTTTCGATCGAGGCGTTGACCGAGAAGTAGTTTATCAGACAGCTGCTTCAGCACAACGCTGTCAGTGGCACAAAGCTTTATCAACCTCATTGAAGAGCAGCTTTATGCTATGTGACGGACGCTACATGGCAAGTGATTGACAATGGAAAGGTGAATGATGCGTTTGAAGTGAAGATAGGAATAAGACAAGGTTGTCTACTATTTATCAAAAATGATCTTTCTGATTGTGTTGCGATGGACTCGACTGAATCATGCAACTCTAAGGGATATGGCTCAGAACCGATGTCACCGGTGCAGATGTATACACATATTATCCTCATCTTAAGGACGCTATACCGAATCTCACCATTTTGTCATTCTTCCTTTCTCTCTTTCAGTAATTTATATATATTTCTTTCGACTGCATTCTCATTTTCATCTTTCACCTGACTACCTTTCTACTTGATGTAGTGATATGAGGTATGGCAACTCGGACCATTTCGCAGTAATGCGTGGTCCTATGTTGATATTGATTGAATGGATCATGCAGAAAACTGTGAGGGGATTGATATACCCTGGCTGGACCGATGAGAAGACACCGGAAGAAGATTTGGATTTCGCCGACGATGATGTATGTCTAGTGTCTTGTTGTGCAAACTCGAAGATCTACGAGCGAAAACCAACGGGCTGAAAGAGGAGGTGACGTGGCGAAGGAAGACGGGACTTGCTTCAGGTGAACTTAGGGACGAGAGAGGTGATGAAGATACCGAACCAACTACAACAGCAGCAACAACACTCACCATGAACGGGAGAAATGTAAAGAAAGAAGTCTATTTCAAGCACTTAGGCAGCGGCATGGGTACAGATGAAGACATGAAAGGGGGGTTCGGAAAGACAGCAAGACAGGCCTTCCTACGGAGATGTACTGCACTGCACTCAGGACAAAGTGTGAACAGGACGCGGATATTCAACCCTTATGTCAGTCGACTCAGTGCTTCTATGTGATGGTTGAGAGACTTGGCAGTGCGTTGCAAAAAGCATTTCTCACAAACTATAGACAGACATCATCAACAGCTCTCGACGCTGGCTCGATACTAATGATAAGTTGACCAGAAGGAATAGGCAACAAGGCATTCTGACCTAGTAATGGACCAACGAAGCAATAACCCATCGCCCAACTACTATGCAGAAGGAAGTGGAGATGGATTGGATTGGGCATACACTGAGAAGACGGTTTGGGGACATCATACGTCAGACCAGATCCTCGAGTGGAACCCAAAGGGGAGCGACAAAGTGGGTGTCCCAGCTGACAGTGACATGGAGGAGATGATGTGAGGAAGAAATGAAGGCTTGTGAGCAGTGTTAGATTCAGGTTTTAATAACTGGAGATAAGAGATAATGAAATGGTGATGTGCTACAGAATCCTTATGTTCAACTAGGAATCTAAAGGAGAAACCGTAATAAATAATAATATTTGCCTATTTATATCTTACTTGAATAAGAAGATGTTTGGATAGGTATATACTTTTTCACTAAATCACGATCTTTCAATGTACATGCACATGTAGCACTGGCTGGAAATATCAATGATCTAACTATATGACATTTTCGGCTAACTGTATTATAACATTCAACTAGGTCTAAAATACCAGCTTCTGGTTCATCAGACCATCCACCAAATATATAAATTTCATCATTGACTACAGTTGAAGATAGATTACTTTTACATCGATTCATTTGTCCAACTATTTCCCATTTATTATCATTTGGATTATATTGTTCAATACTTTTTAATCGATTATTTCCATCATTTCCACCGATAGCATATAGATAACCATTGTGTTGAATTAATGATATACCACCTCTTGGTGAATTCATTCTATTTATTAATGTCCATTGATTTGTTACAGGTTCATAATATTCAACTGAATCATGATAATGTCGACCTTCAAAACCACCAGCCACATATACTTTACCATTTAATTCAGCTGCTGCTGCATCACTACGTACACGATTCATTGATGTAATAGATTGCCATAAATTTTCATTTAATATATATCGTTCAGCAGAGTCTAAACGACCTTGATTCTCACCATTATGACCTCCAAGTGCATAAATATGATTATTTGAGTATACAACACTGACATAATAACGTTTCTCATACATACAACTAATTTCATACCTAAAATGCATTAAAAAAACAAAAGAAAAACCAGAATATCTATCAATAGGAATCTATCCTACAATGTAGATATGATACTGTGTGATTGGTAAACACAGGCATTATAGATTTTGAATAATATAATTAGAAGACGTAGATTATCTGAAAAATGTGTGATGTATTAGCGCTATACATTTCGAACACTCTGATCACACCATCTACTTGTTCAGGCAATTTATATATGAAAACTAGAGGTAGGGGAAGGACACATATGACATAAAGGAATTCAATAATAAGAAAGACAAAATTTGAAGACAGTCGTGGTAATATGATGAAACAAGCATTACCAAGGTAGGCTTAGTGTTAGCACAAACTGTTTTTGCACACACAATGCGGGGTGAAATTTATTTATGGCTGGCGCCTCAACAAACTTAAGTATACACCCCTGACAGTTTCGGTACAAAATTGTAAAGGCTGTCTTGATATCAATCCTGTGACTCTTATCAATGATATGTTGCGCAGTGGATGATGATGGTTGTCTGCCATCTGCGCTTATCAATGTTTGTGAATCCAGCTGCTTTCGTAGCCACTTTGGAACATGTTCCCCTACCCTCAAGTGCATATCCCGATTCGTCCTCCCTATGTATGTTTGTCCACACACACATGTAAATATATAAACGCAATGGGATGTGACACAATCGTTTATACAGCTTTGAGGTCTATGTTGCACCAGGTGTTTGGTCTTCTCAACTATGATAGGCTTAGCTGCATAGTACGTTTTGCTAACAGCAGACCTTAACCTTAGTCTTAATATTATGCTATTAGATTCTCCTCTGTATGGTAACGCGATGTAAACGCATTTCTTCGAAACAGAGTACAGATCAGGTTTGAATCCTAGCTGATTTTTGCAGCGGTTTATGAACTTCAATGGATATCCATTTCCCACTAATGTTTCCGTTAGTATTTTGATATCATCATCCATTGAGTCCTCCGTACAAATACGCTCGATCCTTTTAAATAGACAAGTTACTAAACCTCGCTTGTATTGGGTTGGACGAAAGCTATAGAAACTTAAATACTGACCTGTCCAAATAGGTTTCCTGTAGATCCACCGTTTTATTGAACCATCATTTCTACGACTTAGGAGTATATCCAAGAATGGTAGACGGTTTTCTTTTTCTTCTTCACTTCTCAGGCTTATGTTGCTTTGTACGTTGTTAAGTCTTTCTAACAAACATGTCGCATCTTCATGCTTATCATGTAAATATCAGTTAGCAATGATCCTAAGGAACTTCCCATAGCCACACCATCTATTTGTTGAAAATATCCACCTTCAAATGTGAAATGAACTTTATCAGTACACAATAATAACAGCTCTCTGAAACACGTTGACGGATAAGGAAAGAAGGATTACTGGAAGATATTTGATCACAAAGAATGTCAATGGTTTTGTTTAGGCGTACATTAGTAAGTAAGGAGTTGACATCAAATGAATGCAATCTCTTATCTTTAATATTAGTATCGCTGATATAATGAACAAGTTCAAAAGTATCTTTTAAAGAAAACTTACATAAATCATTTTGAATAGGAATTAAAGTTTTGTTAATCATCTAGCCACTTTATGTGTAGGTGAACGGAACATGGAGAGTATAGGAAATAAAGGATTATCTGTTTTATGAATTTTAGGCAGTCCATACAGATTAGGTAGCTCAGACCCAGGCAGGCATTATAGGTGAAATTCATTAAAACTTGGTTACTATGCTAGAATGTAATTCCATAATTAGATTTGTTTATTTGATATAGTTAGCACACAGTGTGATACGATATTACTTAGTTGGATTGTGTTTTTTGAGCTACCGTGAAGATTTCATCGTCTTTCTGGACGACAACATCATCAGCACTAACTTCAATATGAAGTGAGTGGATAAGCATTGAAATGTTTCGAAGGAAGGCAGTTTGTAGCGAGTTAATAACAGGTTTTTTAACTGGCTTACTTATAAAGTTTTTCAGTAGTTTTAAAAATCCCGATTGTCATAAAAGAAAGTTTAGCGAAGAGTCGCCTTTTCGTCGAGAACATTCTCAAGCTGTACAATCGCACATAACTATTCTATTCACATGTGGTAAAAGAAAACGGGTGTTTCATGAAATAGAGAAGAATATTTGTAGCTTAGGTGGATGGTCTTGGTTGCATTGTGTTCTCTGAGCTAGCTGGGGTGTTTAATCCTCGAGCTTTCGTCACCTTCCTAGACGGTGACATCATCAGCACTAACTTCAATATGAAGTGAGTGGGCTGTCAATATCTCTCCATCAGGGATCTAGTAGCTTGCTCTGACCAACTGGTCTCTGATTGGTTGTTTCCTTTGATTGTTGTATCACTGACCGACTGCATAGATTTTCCTGTTAACTATTCCTCTGCTTCACCTCTCATCTTTCTCATTCATGAATAGATTGGGTCTATCATGTCTATGCATCTATTGAATGACTGACTGACTAATTGACCTGAATGCCAAGCTTCTAGGAATTCTCTGATATTCTTTGTGTTTCCTCTCTCCCTTCAAGATTTCTACACTGTCAGAATTCTATTCATTTCCATAGTTGTTATCCACGTGAATTGAAATGAGTGGTGGAATGTCTTGTGTGATGTTTAATAGCTAATTTGTGTTCATGTGAGTGACAAAGGCGAAGAGGTCGACCACATTGTCCAATGTAGTGTTGATTACAGTTAGCTGTTGTAGTTGATTTTGTAAATGATATTCGGTTTGTCTTGTTTGGTTGTTGTATCCTTTGGTCCGTATAAAAGTGTTTGGAGGGAATTTGTTGGTTTATGAGGCACACCAATTCCACGAAGTGGTCTCAGTAATCTTGTTGTGATTTCTGATATATTCTTTATGTGTGGTAGGATGATGCGTTTGTTGATTTGTGTGGATGACTTTGTAGTTTATGTTGTAGTGGATAGGTGTGTTGTGATAAGTTTTCGTGGGTATTGGTTGTTCTTTAGGATGGACATCAAGTAATTTTCTTCATTTCTCTGTGAAGTTGGGTTGTACTGCAGTATGTTGTCGCTCTTCTGAATAGAGTCTACACGCAACTGATCTTATGCCTTGTTCCTGGTGTACTTGAGGACTTGGTCAGTGTGTGTTGCCTTCCTGTACACTTGGGTTTCCAGCTTCCCCGTATTTGTTCTACTGACTATAACATCCAGGAATGGTAGTTGCTTGTTTGATTCCTTCTCCATGATTCAACAATCCAGGTGAGTGAACACAATACAACCAAGACTATCCACCTGAGCTACAAATATTCTCCATTACAGTATTACTTACTTAGTGACATTCCGAGGACGAATTATTATCGCTCATTATCACATCATTTTAAGAATCATTTAAGAATCTTAACCTCGCCTGGTTAACTAGTTTACTAGTTACTAGCCGGTCCTAAGCCCGGGTAAAGAGGGAAGGTTGGGCATAGGGCTAGCAACCCTACCCCGTAAAACAAATCTAACCGCTAAAGAAACTTCAAAGCACAAACAAAATATAAAAAATGAAAACAAACTTATTCCCCGCTGGAATCGGAGAGGCGAAATGACGCCAGTTGGTGAAAGCCTTCGGGAAGCCAATTGGCCGATGTGTCTTCTCTCGATGAAAGCGAAAGTAAACGTGGGGACATGGAATGTCCGCACGATGTTTGAACCCAGTAAGGCAGCCCAGATTGCAAAGGAGATGAGAAGGTATAACATCGAAGTGCTTGGGATTTGCGAAAGCAGATGGAATGGGAGTGGACTCTCCAAACTGTCAACTGGAGAATCAATAATCTACTCCGGTCACCCAGACGCCAACCACGAGCACACTGAGGGAGTGGCTATCATGATGTCCTCAAGAGCATCGAAGGCTCTCATGCAGTGGGAACCAATCTCCTCCAGGATCATGACAGCAAGATTCAACTCAAAAGGAAGAAAGGTCACAATCATACAATGTTATGCACCTACAAATAATGCAGAGCAAGAGAAAAAGGAGGAATTCTACAGACAACTTCAATCAACACTGGACAAGACGTCAGTTGGCGATATCAAAATTCTAATGGGCGACATGAATGCCAAACTGGGAGGGGACAACACGGGAAGAGAACTAACCATGGGTCGAGAGGCGCTAGGTGAAATGAATGAGAATGGAGAATTGTTTGCAGAATTCTGTGCATTCAACGATTTGGTGATTGGAGGCAGTGTGTTCAGGCACAAGGATATCCACAAAGCGACATGGACTTCACCAGATGGACACACTAAAAATCAAATCGACTTTATCTCAATCTCAAGAAAATGGAGACGCAGTCTACTTAACACAAGGTCAAGAAGAGGAGCAGATGTAGGTTCAGACCACTATCTAGTGCAAGGAACCTTCCAAATCAAGTTAAAAGCCTTCAAGGAAGCTGGTGATAGACCTCAATTCAAGTACAACACTCGGAAACTGAAGGATGAAACTACAAAGGAGATCTTCAAGGCAGCCATCAAGACAAAATGGGAGACGCGTCGAGCAACATCCCTGAAGAAACCTGTGTGGAAGAACACTGGAAGTCTTTGAAAGCTATGTGGAAAGAAACCTGCACAACAGTATTAGGAAGGAAGAAGAAAGAAGACAAGGAATGGATCTCGACGGATACCTGGAAGCTGATAGAGGAGAGGAGGATGGTGAAGCAGAAGATAAACCAGTGCAAGGATGCTCAACGACAAGAGGAACTGAGCACAATGTATAAAACACTGGACAAAGAAGTGAAGAAGAGTGCACGCAAAGACAAAAGACACTTCTACGACACACTGGCAAGTGAAGCAGAACAGGCTGCAGGTAAGAGAGACCTGACGACATTGTATCAAATAACCAGGTTGCTATCAGGGAAGAGACCAACACAGATGAAACCAATAAAAGATGAAGAAGGAAATTTAATTACAAAAGAAGAGAAACAGAGGAAACGATGGGCCGACCACTTCAAGAAGCTCTTGAATCGACCACCACCTGCACTTCGTCCAGAAATAC